AAAATGCATGTGAAGCTACCTTGTCCAATCGTAAAATCCAACCATAAATTCTTATTTGTTTTTACCTAACTCACTCTTAAATTGAGAGATTTTTAATTTTGGCACACTAATAATTTCTCATTATAAATATTAAACCAGTGAAATAAATATGTAAAGTTATAACTATCTTATACAGACCTGGAGGAATTACAAGTGTTTTCCTATGTTCTTTACACCATCCAACGGGATGAATATGTGGACTAGCTGCTTCACACCTGCAGGAAAGATGTTGTATTAATTGTGTACCTCTCCTATAAATATCTTAATTGCAATTAAGATTTTCTTCTGTTACAATTCAAGGCCAGTGGGGCACACATGAACATCTGGACTGCTTGTTAAATGGGAACACTGAATAAATTCATTATGCTATTGAAAATGCTTTTTCAGAGAGAGAGTGTGTGTGTGTGAACATATTTAGGAAAAGCTGAAATATATATTTGCTAATAAAAACATTTGGCCTAAGACAATTTAACAAACAAAATTATACTTTTAAAGTTTCTAATCCAGAAAGAATGCCCTGTATGGATGCTTAACACATCATTGGATGCATCTGAATATTTTTAATTATTTAAAACTAATTTATGGTTATTTTATTGTTACTGAATTTTGTTACTGTATTTATTATATTACATAAACATCTTTTTAGACACTAGTAATTACCTTAAGTATACAGAGAGGTGAAAAATGAATATTAAAATTGCATTATGTTACGTGTCTTTGTTCTATAAAAAGCTATGTCCTAGGCAGATACAAGTTAAGAAAATAATGAGACATAGAAATACAATAAAATAGTAAACTATATACAAAATACTAATTCTAATAGTTTGCTTTTTTAAAAAAAAAATATTATTACTGTATTAGTAAACAAAAAAATTCTGCTTGCGTTTTTCTATTACCCATGCTACTGTTCATTTTTTAAAATTGGGATAGTTTAACTAAATATTTTTGTTGGTTTCTATTTAATAGTATCATATATCCATCTTATAATATACCGATCATCTTATAGCCCCATCTAGTGTTCAGATGAGGAACTTTATAAGTCATACATGTTTTGTGTTAATGGAAGCAGTCTTATTAGCGATCCACTTTTTATCTCCCAAAGGTTAAAAAAAAAATCCTTGACAAAGGTCTTCCTTTTCCTTTTTGCCTCTCTCTGACTTATGGGAGATATTGCCTTAGAAATAAAATGCATATTTGTTGAATATTCTGTAGGCTGCACCCAAGAGAAAAAGCTCCCTTCTCTTGCAGCTGCAAAGAAGCAGAGTAAGTTGCAACAGGACAAATGACTCTTGACTTTGGAGATCTATAAATTCGCAATCAGGAATATAGTTAAATGCAAGATTGAATTAAACCCATACATTAATTACAAATTATGAGCAGGCAGCTATTTTCTGGCAGCTATTTTTTTATTTGTGTCCAAGTCACCAAAATATATTCTTTTCCTCAGTTTGAGGGAGAGAATTGTGGCAGAATAAAAGGAATTTGAAAGGATACACTGCTGAGAAAGGTTAAATGACTTCTCTTTTGCCTCCTTCTAAATCCGAAGATATCTGCAGCTGCTTTGCAGAAGAAAAAGTACTTGTAGATAGGGAGAAGAATGTGAAGAAGAGACTAGGAAGGCTATTCGCAAATATAAATTTAAGCATTAATGGCACAATATGAATATTTTCTGTTGAGTTCATTCATGGTGCCATTGCAGTTTTTAAAGAGCCAGCCTATCAGGTTTACTGCCATAATAGGGTTCTCCTAAAGAAATAAGCATGGTTCTATCTATCCTAGATTTTAATTGGCTTTTGAAAATAATTCTATTTCTCTCCTCATTTCATTAAGGGTGCAGGGCTTATAGTCTTTAAACTATAGGCTAGTTGTTTGTATTTTTGGAATTACAATATAGTTTTCCATGAAGTCTTTGTCCTTTCAAAGCTTTACCTTGGAAGCATCTCAAAAGTTCTCCAGCTATCACAATGTCATATTAAGGACCTGTGACACTGTGCTAACCCATGAGTTACCAGGTGACTCTTTTATAAATTAAAACCATTCCAAGCGGTGGAAAGCAATTCCCTTGGCAAATTTATTCAAATCTGGTTTTTATTCCAGTGCAATTGCTGTATATAATGTGCCTGGGATTCCTAGTAGTTCCCTGTGTTCTGACAAGGCACCTCCTAGAACTCCTACTGGATACAGGAGATGGAAGTAAAGAAGGAAACAATCTGAACTTGAGCAGAAACAACTCTAAGTTGTTGTCTACCCATCGTGTTCAAGAAGGCCCTGTGTCTCTCAACACTTTTCACATAACAATGCAGGAGGCTTCATTGGCAGACTGCAAAAGTTCAGCAGCTTCATTATTTTTATGTTTCTGCCTTTCCACATCTAATTTCTAACCCAAGGAGGACCACATAAAAGTTTTCAAAAACTTTCCTCTGACCTCAAGTATATTTTCTTGTATTCTAGCCTGTAATTTTTTTCTCACTTTCAGATTATTTTTCTTTCTAACTTTCACATTTATTATCACTTTTATTCTTTACACTGCTACCAACAGCTACATCTCTTTAAGGGGGTCTGTAAAATATAAAATTATTCTAGAGGAGAAATGATTTTTTAAAAAATCTGATCATCCTAATTAAATAGAAAAATGACAATGTAGCCAGAGGGGGGAAAAAGGGTAGTATCTCTAGAATTCTATCATCAAAACACTCCTACCAGTAGTCATAGCTTTCATCCCAGTTGTCAAAATGAACCAGGAAACGGTTGTCCACAATGTCAGTTACTGTAGCAACACATATGAAAGCAGGGTTCTTTTTGTCTACTGCTTCAAGCTTCATCCCTACTCGAAATCCTGATGGGATCACAGTCTAATCAAAGAGAGGTTCAAAAATAATGTTGAGTAGAAAGTTGGTTATTGAACCACATGAAGCAAGACAGTGTCAAACAGAAGAAAACAGAAAACTGCAGATCAATAAAAAACCAAACCAAACATAACACTGCAGATTAATTTTTGAAAAAAGCCTCTACATCAGGGATCCACAATCCCTGAGCTGTGAGCCATTTTGAATTGGACCCCAGAAGCATGCACATCTCCACTTGCGCGAGTAGCAGGTGAGCATATGTGTGCAAGCTCCATTTGTGCAGGCTTGCTGGCCGTTTGTCCGTAACCAACCCCTTGCCGCACCCCGCGGGTCCACAAAGCTGGAAAGGTTGGAGAACTATGCTCTACATCCTCAAATTCTTCTGACATTGCATAATTTTGAACTTTAAAAAAAAGAGTTCTAAATTATCTATTTTATTTCATTATTTTATTTTACTGACTGCCCATCTTACTACATGGTATACTGTTAAAACTGAGTAACTTTTCACAGACTTTTCAAAATAAATTTGCCTTTCCTAGCTTATTATGGCATAAAACATACAGTCATTACATTCCCACAAGGGAGCTCAATCCAACCTCCCGTGAATTCTGCTGGTCTTTATCTAGAGCCAAATTGGTAGATCAGATTCTTTTACATAGGTAGAATGAAATAAATTTTCGTGTTTTGAACTCTACTCCTGTTCCTGGCTTCTTGTGCCTGACAGTGAATATGTAATCACTCAGTCAAATTAGGACTTGTGTGAAGTCAATGAGGTGTGACCCTGTATTAAAGGTGTATCTTATATCTTATATCATATTGTCTTGGGAATAAAATAAATTCTTATTTCCTAAATCAAATATTTGGATTATTTCAAAACAAATTTGAATTCAGACTTCTTTTATTTCTGTCTCATCCATTTTGTAATCCCCTACATCAACTTTTTTTACATTTAATTTACTTCAATACTGACAGACTGTCAGACAGTCAAAAAAGGATGTTGGAAAAACTATTGATAAAGTTTCCTTCACGTAAATCTTACAAGATCACATTAATTCTTACTCAGACTTGATATGAGTTCAATTATTATTTTAATAATTATTAAAAGTATCCACCTAGCCACTTTCATATCTAAGGCAGGATTAGAACTTTCAGTCTCTGTTTTCTAACTTCTTAGATCAAGCTGGCAAATTTTGCACTTTCCTCTTTGTTCTTTACTTTGTAATAGTTTTTCTTAGATTTCATATTCTTTTTAAAAATTGAATAAAAAGGCGTGCAAATAAGAATTTAATGGCTACCCTCTTCTACCCATATAGGAAAATACTATTCTAATGCTTTTTTAAAAAAAACACCCCCAAAATTAAAGCTTTTAACAAACACTTTCAAGTAATTAAATTAACATCAAGAGGCACAGAAAAAAGATATAGAAAATACAAAAAAATCTCCTGAAAATAAGTAAAGAGATAGGTACTGTACATGTACAAATTTATTATATAAATTTACTATAAGGAGTTGATTTATTACATTGATAAAATCCATTAAATTTTTTAACTACATTGGGTATATCAATATATTACACAAATGCTAATGTGAACACAGAGATAAATATAAGAAAAAAACTTACTGTGTTTTGGTTTTCAAACAAGGATTTAGGAGCAGCTTGAGCTTTACATTTCTTCAGATATGCAGGCCAATTAAATTCATCTTCTTTATAACCTGGAAACCATAAAGAAGAATAAAACATTTTTTTTTAAATTTGAGGTGCACTTAACTTTAATTGCAGCTGTTTCTGTCAGTATCACCATTCAGTGTCTGCCAAACTGTCCATTGCAAGAACAAACAGAAGACATTTAACTTTTAAAAGCCCCTTGAGAATATAATTACAGGCACCATAGTAATTTAAAAACAAGATCAGTCAGTAATATCTGAAAATTCTAAAAGCACTAGCCTGTCTTCAGAAGTTACGAATATCTTTTTTCTAACGTAAGTAAGGTACAAATGCAGTATTTGCCAATAATACACACTGAAATTCTTGTAACTAACAAGTCTAATATTTTATCATTTTATGAAGTGAAAATAGCAAAAGTCTGCAATCCTAAATTATAAAGGTACAATATGAACTATATTTGATAATTTCATTGTTAACTATGTCCACAAAGGCAAAAAAATGAAAAGGGGAAAAAAAACAGCTTGCCAAGAAAAGAATTCTGAATTAGTGCAAGGTTAAATATAGTGACATAATATAGCTTNATATTTTATCATTTTATGAAGTGAAAATAGCAAAAGTCTGCAATCCTAAATTATAAAGGTACAATATGAACTATATTTGATAATTTCATTGTTAACTATGTCCACAAAGGCAAAAAAATGAAAAGGGGAAAAAAAACAGCTTGCCAAGAAAAGAATTCTGAATTAGTGCAAGGTTAAATATAGTGACATAATATAGCTTAAGCATTACATGTAAAGAAACCTATGATATCCAAACAATTTTTAAAGATCAATAACAAACTATTGCATGCTGTTACCAAACACCCCTCTATTTTTCTGGTTTTGATTTTGTGATCTGTCCTAGAGAAACCTGTTTTGCATTAAGAGAAATAAAGAAGTATCTTCAACCAGTTCGGAAGTATGGACCAAATGTATTCAAAGTTGAAGTTGCCCTCTTACTAAAGATGACATTGTACCTAATATGCTTATTTTCCTCAATTAAATCCAAGCTTTTTTTGGATATTACTTACAAAAACTAAATTTGGCCTCAAAACATTTCCAATGGAAGTAATGTACAAAGAACCAGTTGATTACCCCTGACTGTGGTTTTTTTAAATGAATTCTGTGAGTGTTATGCCTATGCTGCAGCCTTCTCTAGATCATTCTACAGTTATAAAAATGTTGATGGCAATCTGCACAAAGACATCTGCATTCCCATCCAGTATTGGACTTACAGTAGGAATGTAAGCACCTGCAGAAAGGATGTTTCAAGGATGCTGTGAATGCAGAGGTGACTATTTTTAGGGATGGCAATTACAGGTAAGCAACTGTAGATGAACAACAAATCTTACTTGGAGCTGGTGCCAATGTCTCACTCTCCAACCAGAATGGATAATACAGTGACTCCATAAACATTAACAAGCAAGAGGGTTGCCAGTTAATAATTGATGTCCTTAATCCAGTGATAAAATTGCTAAGAGGAAATAGAAATCTTTCTTTTTCCCAAAGAGTAAAAAAACAACTACAATGTTGTGTGAGAAGTTATTATGAGTACACAAAAAGCCAAGACGTGACAAACAAAAGTGAAAAGAACAATCCAATTCCAAATTCAGTATAGAATAGGAGAGAAAGAATAGTTTCAGGTCCACTTTAGGAAGCAAAATCAGATCACAATGCAGGCTTACCTTCTTGAGATAAAACATAGGATCTAAACGAATAGTGGAGATGAGTGCAACCAAAAATTCCTGTGTGTGTGTGTTTTATACACAGACACACACAAACATTGGTCTGTTAAAATGAAAGCAATACCAAGCAGGAACAGGGAACTGTATTAATATTAGAAATACACCTCAGAAAATGTCTTTTGCAGTGGAAAAAAATGGAATTGCTATCAATGCTAGAATTAGATGCTAAAAATTGAAGAGTGTCATAGAAGGATAAAGCATTCATTTATGAGTCTTGTATGATCGATCACATATCTATGGAGTTTCTCAATCATCCAGGTCATAGTTATCCCAAAGGTGCTTTTTCACGAGGCAACTAGACTTTCTTGTTTTTCTTTGAAGACGTTTCGCTTCTCATCCAAGAAGCTTCTTCAGCTCTGACTGGATGATGGGGAATGGAAGGATTTCTGCAAGGAGTATACTACTTTTATAGTATAAATTTTTACTTGTACATTCCTAAGTCTCTCACTATAAAAGTGTAACTATGCTGCCTTAACACAATAAAGAAAGATCATAAATTGTTTATGGATAACTTAGTACCTTTTGGTGGATGAAGCTTATGCCCGGTTTTCTCACACCACCCAACAGGGTGAATATCTGAAGAATCAGCATTCAGCCAAAAATCGTAACAGTCTGGATATTCATCAAAATGAAGTCGAATTCTGTAGCCACAAATCTAAAATCACAGTATATAAAAATAGAAGCGTATCTCCTCATGGGCCTTAGAGGGTCAATTATTGAATAGGGGGACAATTCTCAAACAAACTTTAGATAGCATAATCATTCAATACAGTAGTGCAAACCTATCACATCTTTATCAAGATTCATTCAACATATATATATATATATAGTTTATAAGTAAAAATCCAATATTTCTTTCCAGCTATAATCCAAGGAAACATTCTAAGTATTTCTTGTAATAATATTAGAACCTAGGTCTAATCAATGAAGTTGAATCACGCAACATTTAATAAACCACACAACATTTAATAAAAGATGCAATGGTTACAAATTTAGATGAATTTAGAAATTTAGAAAAATTAAAAAGCTTTACAAAAGTACCAGAAAGTATGACTTTGAAGGTACCTAAGCAAAACAATAGCCATTATCATTATAGGGACATGAATCTCAAACAATTCCCCATTGTGGGAAGCATGATGTTGGACTACACTCAATGTTTGATTTGGCGCAACAAAGCTCTTCTTATATTCTTATTTATAGTTTATAATTCTGTTACCTGGCTCTAAATGATGGGGTGCAGTTATTTTCTTATTGCCTACTATAATTTGTTTTTAATACAGACAAATGGATCACCTGCCACTTACCTCTCCTACTGTAAGCACACAGTACATTGACTGATGCTCAGGATCCACTCCTTCTAGTTTCATTCCAACTTTGAATCCATTTTTGTTGTATGGCAAGGACTGGTACTAGAAGTAAAATGTCAAGTTTTATTTAACATAAGCATTTCTAAACTACACCAAGATAGATACCTTATTTTTTTCCTTTAAGAAGAAAATCCAGATCTTCCATATTGATGCCAGCTAACGAAACTTTTTTCCCCACCTCCATTTTTCAAGAAAAGCTATACGGACATAAACTAGATCAAAATCTTCAGTATAAAGTACATTATGCATTTCCCAAGTAATAAATATGTTAATATATTTCCGGATTAATGGCTCTGTGTAATTCCTCTTTCATCTTTTACATTCCTGCAGTGCGAGTTGTATTTTGAACTTAGGTTAAGTAATTATGTCATCATATGCTTCATTATACAATACAATATTGCATATATGTCTTTGCATGACCTTTAAGAATGGGGTTTTCTTTACTGTGTCAGTTACGCCTTTTAGTTTCTAATTGATTTTAGAGTTTGTGCCTTAAGCAGAGACAGTAAATACAAGGATGAGTACAGCTGTGCTTCCTTATCTCTCTCTGCAGCAAAGCTTAGGAATTGCTTGTTGGAATAACAATTAAGAGACTTCGTATAAGTCATATATATAAGTAAGCTTCCTTTCAGAAAATGCATCTCTATGTTTTCATGCAATGAAGAATACTAATTGTCTTCCTTTCTGTTATCATTTTCTTTAATCGTTGTAAAATAATTCTATTGACATCTCCTATTAACAAATACACATTGTCAAACTGTTTGTAATCAACATTCTCTTTAAGACCTATGTAACCTAGTAGTTCTTATTCTTGGTTCATCTGGGTACAAAAAAAACCCCAAGGATTGATAGTAACCTGCTAGCTTTGAAAAATAATTGACTTTTTGGATCCTCTTCAGTGGTTGGTATTTATTTGAAAGTTTTTCTACTACTATGCTAAAATTAATTTTAATACCAAGAGTTTGACAAATTTCTTACATGAAGTTCAAAAATTCTGGTTTGTGAAAAGTATCTGCTTCTTCCACAATGATTTTTCCAGTTATGCCATGAAGATATAACCATGCAAAAATCAATTATCTATACATTTACTTTAAAGAATAATTTTACGAGCAGGATTTTGCATTACTGCTTGTACTGAAACAAGTGTAAGAACGAATGGATTTGCGAGTTTTCAACAGACGTATTGTTTCACTCTTTGAAACTGCTTGACATACAGCAAAACAAGGCAATGCTCCAGGCAAAAGAAACCACAATTAAGAAGCAATGTGTGTCTATGAATGTCGGGGAGGGGAGGGGGCAAAGGAAGTACTGTAAGATTATACGCAACTTTATGTTAATCCTTTCCTAGGAACCCAAGTCTCACCACTTCTTTTTGTCTACTTTAATGACTATTATTAACAACAGTAACTGGATAATTAGGATTACTCCAATAAAATTATTGATGTACAGTTACATCAACTGAAGCTTCTCGCCAGAGGTTGCTAGTAATCAAAGCTATAACCACCGATCTTGTCAAAATACATAGGACCCACATGCATTCAACTTAAGCTGTATACAGTATTGTAGATTGTTGTGCAGTCCTTCATGTAATTCTTATTAAATTTGCTCCATAATAACTTACTATTTTCACAGCATCCATACTGTAGGTATAACAGCATCTATATCAGTGGTGGCGAACCTATGGCACACATGCCAGAGGCGGCATTGCCCCAGCCCTGCCTCCCCCCGTGGCCCCCTCCTCACCAGCATCCCCCTAGGAGGAGAGTCGCCCCCGGGTGTAGCCCGTGTGGAGCAGCGCAGCCAAGGACATGGTAGCCAGGCAGCAGGGACAAGACTCCACCCTCGCGCACTGTCACGCGCAGATGATGCTGTGGGGCGTGGACAGAGGGTGTGGCTAACATGGCACTGCAGGGCCGCTTGGGTGATCTATGGCGGGCCGTGGAGGTAGTAGGTGGCCCTGCGGCCGGGCAGGGGGCAGGAGTGGGGTAGGGGATGGCTGGTTTTGGGGCACTTGGTGTCTAAAAGGTTCACCATCACTGATCTATATATACATTAGAAGAATACCAGGAATGGATACAGTGTGAAAAAAAAGAGGCAAAGAAATGTTGCATATAAAGAGCACTGTTTTTGTATGCCAGAATGATGTCATCTAGAATGATTTAACTGCCTGTAAAATTATGAGATTTATGTTTATTGTTTCACTGACACAATCCTTATTTCAGTCTATACAAAAATATTTTACATAATGTCAATTTAAAAAGCCATTAATTATCTAACCATTACAACTATTGAAAGGTTTCTTTTCTATTCAGGATTGTTCGTATTATGTGCTCCAATATTTTAATATATATATATAATTGAGATATATAAGTCCCTCCTCTAACTCATTACTGACTCTAAGCTGCATGCATTTTTTTAAAAAAATCCACAATTGCTAAAATAAAGCAAAAAAGAATAAACAATGTGTGAACCAAAAAACCTATAACCAAAAGAGACAATTTATTCCAAATGGATATACCTAATCCTATCCCAGAATCTGGAGTGTGGAAAACAGGTTAAAACGTATCTTCATCAGTGTACAAAACTGAAACCAAGCACAAATGCATACAGCTAGGGCTCACACTTCAGGCTGCCAGCAGTAATAATACCAATGAATTCTTATTGCAATGTTTTGGAATTGGGCACTTAGTAGCATACAGAAATCATCTTAAAATATATCAATTGGTATAAAAATATAAGGAAGTATGAAATAACAATTCAAACAATTCAGTTTTAAACTGAGGCAGAAGCATGCTTAGCTAAATTAACATCAACATTTAAAGCCCGCTGCTTTAAATAACAAATGTTTAGAAGAGTTAAATATAATACAATTAGAACTCCAGAACTATGTTATCACTATGAAAACCTGCCCACTTATATGCAGGTATCTATAACAGAACAACACCTGAGATAATCTCTACATCAGTTATTATATATAAACATAGTAACATCTGTGAACCGCCTTTCATAAGTAAGGGAATTAACATAACCCTTATCAGCCATGTCAAAATTTTAAGTTCACATTTATTTAAGACAGTTAGCTAGCAAAGTATATATTCCTCAAACCAATCAGTTAGGAATTTACAGGGGAGCTTACCTCTTTAAAAATCTTAGGAGGTGCTGCTGTAGCCTTTTCTTCTTCCAAATATGAAGACCAACTCCACGCTTTCTTTCCCTTTGACATTAAAGCTGAAATTAGAAATCAAAGCAGTTAAAGAAATTAGAAAATAAAATCTAGTCACAGAAGACACGTGTAAGCTGTTATCTGCACTCAGGTAACTGTCCATTTTTTTGCTTTCAAACTACTGAAAAACATCTTACCAGCAAGTATAGGATGATTCTCTTCCCTGCCCCATTCATAGATAAGAAGTATCTTGGTGAAAAATTTTGTATTACTATTGGCTAAATATGGTAATATCATCCCATACACTTCAAATCTAGTAACGCAATGTTACTATACAGGTAGTCCCTGACTTACAGCAGTTCATTTAGTGACTGTTCAAACGGCACTGAGAAATGTGACTTATGATCATTTTCCACATGATCCCATGGTCAGCATCCCCATGGTCTTGTGATCAAAATTCAGGGGGTTGGCAACTGACTCACACTTATGACCGTTGCTGTGTCCGAAGGTTATGTGATCACCATTGGCAACCTTTTGACAAACAAAATCAAAGGGGAAAGCCAGATTCACTTAACAACCGTGTTACTAACTTATCAACTGTGGTGATTCACTTAACAACTGTGGCAAGAAAAGTTGTAAAATGGGGCAAAACACACTTAACAAATGTCTCAATAACAGAAATTTTGGGTTCAATTGTGGTTGTAAATCGAGGACTACCTCTATTTGTGTGAACTGCACTGTAACAGCTTGCTGTTAATTAAGACAGCGGAGATAGTAGATAATTACCATCAAACTGAATATTAGAGATCAGCTTACAGGTAAGTAATACTGCCTAATCTTATTATTTTCCTTAAAGAAGCATATTCACTCTTTTAGGAAACTAACTCCACAGTGATATGGTAGCATTTTACTACTTAGTTAACACTCTGGATTTGTCACTTTTTGAAATATGCAATACTTAATTTTCTACATGTTCCCAAAAATTAGTTGAACAATTTCATCTATGCAGAACAGAAATCCCCATTAGTGTTCAGGGAAGAGTATTGTCTTAATTTCGTTTATACATCTACTTTAAACTCTCCTATGGAATGGGGAACATTAAAGACAGAATATTTGAAGCTTTTAATAAAACAATAAAATGTAAGCACTCGAAGGAAGATGCTCTTCCATTTTTTTCTTTTACAAAATACTGAATGTTTTACCATGTACAGCATAGCTATTATAATGTGATATTATTGACTAAATATAAAATAATAGTACATTCATTTAATTACTTAATTAATTTAGTATTTGCATAGCTGTCCATCCCAGTGGTGGGATTCATCCGGTTCGCACCACTTTGGCAGAACCGGTAGCTAATTTTTTGTTGCCCAGGCCCAGAATGGACTTCCGGAAGTGGCATCCACACAGAGAATCGGTTGTTAACATATTTGAATCCCACCATTTGCCCATCCCATTTAGTGACGCTGTGCAGCATACCTAATAATCACGAATGTATAAAAACTGATTGAAAACAATCAATTTAAATTAAAATAAAAACAAGATAAATCAAATTTTAAAAAGCAATGGCATAAAACCAGAGTGCATCCATTAACTGTCATATAGATATCCAACAGGTTCCCCTATCATAGTATCACTAAATTAGTTGATAAAGCTATGTCTGAAGGCAGGGCAACTATGGCAACTTTCTACAACTTGTGGACTTCAATTCCCAGAATTCCTAAGCCAGCAAGGGAGTTGAAGTTCACCGGTCATAAAGTTGTCACAGTTGCCGCCTCTGTTTTAAGGGCTTTCTGGAAAACTAATAGAATTGGGACCAACCTCACCTCAGCAGGGGGAGGGAATGATGTTCCAAAGGATGGGGGCTACGTCAATTTTATCGACAAAACATACAATAGAAATGTTCACATGTGGCATTATGAAAAATCAATGACCACAAGATATTTGCAAACTGTATAAATTATATACTGTATAAAATCCACACATTCATATAATATGGTTGTTCACTTCTGATTGTACACTTAATCAATCCATTTACCTCACGACAAATTTTAAGTTTTTTGAGGAATTGAAGGAAAACTTAATTCTGCTAAAGTATTATATATCAACTTACTTTGTTTTAAAATTGCCACCTCTCGTTTCCTTTTCCTTGTGGCTCTTTGAGATACTCTCAGTATTCTTCCTTCAGAGTTCTCTTCCTAAATTGCAAAATTAAATATTGTGGCAGGCATAATTATCATTTATAATGATCAAACACAGATGTTTCTGTTCTGATTCTATTTTGAATATTTAAATATGAATTCAGTTCATGTAAAAATCAATGGAGAATGAAGTTCCAGCCTGCAGAGTGGTGTTAAACTAGGAAGATGGTATGATGAACAATTTAAGTACACCTGAAACTAGATGTATGAATAAAATTCAATTTTGATTTGCAATATTAACAGTGAACTACAATACAGGACTTTCCCAATTATTCTCTCAGTACAAGAGAGAAGAGTAGCAATATGCTCTCTATAAGACTCTGTAAGAAAATGACTACACTGTAAAACAGATATACAGTTTACTATTCTTTCATTCTATCTACATGAAAATAAATGCAATAGTCAGAAGAGTATATGTGTTTAACACCAGCCCAGCTCCAACATCCAATTCAGCAAGAATTCACAATATTTGTCAATGGCAAAATTAAATGAATGTTGCTCTATCAATCAAATGATTGGAATGCCATGATAGTGTTGAAATTTACAAGATTTCAATATACTTACATCTTATAAGATTTCAAATAAAAAATCAAGTTCATAAAATTTGGAGAAAAATGATTTGAGACTGCTGAAATATCACGTAGTCTAGAAATCTCATGAGATGAGGCAAATCAGTTAAATTTAGATTAAAACATAGTCCATTTATGATTTGTTCAATCTACCCCTGAACAAATTATGATTGGCAACAGGCTTAAAGTACACAGGTTTTACAAGCATGGACTACTGAACAGTACTAAAACTACAAGAAATTGTCTAATCTAGAACTATCAACTGAAAAATACTAACTGTTTCCTTGTCTTTATCCTTTTCTTCAATAACCTCTCCTTTGGATGGCAATTTGCTTTTTCTCTTTTGAATGCCCTTAGAATAGTCTTCATCACTGCATTCGGACACTTCTTTTTCCTCCTTTGATTCCCTAGAATGAGAATTAAATTGCATTAATTACTACAAGGAAAAAGTTATGATTCACAAAACAGACGTCGCATCTTTCAAACCTTTCCTTTCCTATTTCTCCTCAAAGCACATACTTTAAAAGGGCATTTTAAAAGAAAGAAGTAGCAAATTTGAATGCTGTCAAGTGGAATAATAGAAAGACTGCAATCAAATGTCACCAGACTTATGAAAAAAAAACTTCTTCTGCACCCTCTGTTGGAACATCTAGCCCAGGGGTAGGCAACCTTGGCTCCTTTATGACTCGTGGACTTCAACTCCCAGAATTCCTGAGCCAGCCATGCTGGCTGAGGAATTCTGGAAGTTGAAGTCCACAAATCATAAAAGAGCCAAGGTTGCCTACCCCTGATCTAGCCCAACAAGCCAGGGATCTATTGAAACAATATTGCAGCATGAAAAAATAAGCACTGCCCAAAATGAGATGCAAACCACATTGAAATTAATTCAAGAATCAATACAAAGAAACCACGAAGAGACAAAAAGTAATTTTGATAAATTAAATGAACAAATGTTGGATATAAAGACACAATTTGAATCAATCTATATTAAAAGAAAGAGAATTTATAGAACTAGCAAAAAAAAGAAATGGAGTTTTTCTTCAAAGAAAACAAAAAAGAGATAAGAAAAGGTACAAGGCAAGGATGTCCATTATCTCTGTTGTTATTTATTCTGATCTTGGAAATTTTAAATAGAAATATTAGACAAGATACATAAATTAAAGGACTAGAAATAAAAGGTGAAGCATGCAAGTTACAAGCATTTGCTGATGATTTGGTATTTATTTTAGAAGAACCTTTGGAGATGATTCCTAAACTACTGGGAAAGGTAGAACAGTATGGAGAAATAGCAGGACTGAAAATAAACAGAGGAAAAAGTAAAGTAATAGTCAAAAATCTTTCAGATAAACAAAAAAACCAAATATCAGAAAAAAATAGAATTACAAATAGTTAAAAAGGTCAAATATCTGGGAATATATTTAACAGCATGATGTTCAATGATAAAAGAAGATAACTATACAAAACTATTGAATCAAATAAGAGTGGATTTGGAAAAATGGAAAAACTTGCAATTGTCACTATTAGGAAGAATTGCTACAGTGAAAATGAATATATTACCGAAAATCTTATTTTTATTCCAAACAATACCTATAAAACTTAGAAAAAATTCTTTGAAGATTTAAATTCATTAATTTTGAAATTTATCTGGCAAGGAAAGAAAGCTAGAATTAAGATGAAAATGTTACAAGATGCCAAGGAAAATGGAGGTTTGGGTTTACCAGAGTGGGTTTCATATTACCAAGTATCTGTATTAACATGGGTAAAAGAATGGATAATTCTTAGAAACAAAAGGTTGTTATATCTGGAGGTGCATGATTTACAATTGGAATGGCATGCTTTCTTATGGTAAGGGAAAAATAAAATTCATAAATACTTCCACAATCACTATATAGGAAATGTATTATTAACATGGGAAAAAATAAAATGTAAAATATATCTGAAAATTTCAGGGTGGTTGTCAACAATGGAAGCATTTGTACACCCAAATTTAGTTGACTTTGAAAAAATCTGGACATATAGAGATATTTTAAACTTTGAAGGGAATTTAAAATCTAAACAAGAAATGGAAAATCAGGGTATCAATTTATCATGGTGCGCACATTTACAAATGCAAACTAGATATGATAAAGATGTTAAATTGTAGGTTTTTATAAGGAGCAAACCTTGTTTGATAAGATATTGTTAACTTCTGATGAGAAACTAATTAAGAAAATTTATAATTTTTTATTAACTTTGAAAATGTAAAGCAAACAAGTTAAAGAAACAATGATAAATTGGGCAAAAAAAATTTGGATATAACATAGAATTAGAAAAATGGCAAAATTTATGGGAAAGAAATTATAAACTGACAATGTCAACTTCCCACAAAGAAAATTTATATAAAATGTTTTATAGATGGCACTTGCCACAAGCAAGACAAGCAAAAATGTTTAAAAACATGTCAAATAGATGTTGGAAATGCAAACAGAAGTCAGGCACTTATTATCATGTTTGGTGGACATGTGCCAAAGCAAAGAGTTATTGGAAAAACATACATGCCTGGCTAGAAAAGATGTTGGGAGAACATGTAGATTTTAAACCTGAACTTTTTTTATTAGGTATAATAACAGAAAAGATTAAGCGTATGTTTAACTTTGCATGTTACAACAGTGGCAAGAATTATATTTGCGCAATATTGGAAAAATGAAGGAATACCATCAGATGAAGAAATAATTAAAAAATATTAGAATGCGCGGAGATGGATAGACTGACTCTGAGACTGAAAGAAAAAGAAGAAACGGAATATTATCAAACTCAGTACTTATTTTATCGATGGCTAGAAGAAAGAATAAAGGATTAGGAACTAAATATGTATTAGCGAATATAAACACAGACAGCACATTTGTTGAATAAATACTACTGAATGTATGGGAAAAAATTAATAAAAACCTTTAAAAAAAGAAGAAAGACTGCAATCCGTTGAAAGATTGAAGAGATTATTATGTAGGAATGAGTACAATCCCAGTAAAACAAATTTTTCAAATGAACACAGTAAAAGCAACTAGGCAATAACTATTTGCATTAGGAATAAACTGAACTATACTATTATTGATAGAGAGTGAAACAGTTAATGCATGGCCCTGAAAAAACACACATCACTTTGCTTCTGTAAATTCCAATATATTGGATTGCATCTAAATAGAACCTTTATAAAATCAAAGTGAATAATGCAAACTTTTTTTATCACAAGCTCATATAATAAGCAAAATTCTATGAATATATACTGATGCTGCAATCTTTTAACTAGAAGTCAAACCTACTGGGATTCATTTCTTAGTAGATGTGTATCAGAACTGTTCCAATTCTTGTAGCATGCAGGAATGTGAATGAAGCACCTATCTTTGACAGCCATGTGTTTTTTGCAGGTTTACTTCTTTTAAGACTGCTTCTGAATTTCTTATGCTCCTGTTCTCTTTCAAAGAATATGGCTGTCCTAATGTGCACAAGACTGCATCCTGTTGACACTTAGCTATGAATTATACTGAACGATAATCAAATATATGACTATTCTGGCAGATTTATCTTATGCTCACAAACAAACAGTGGTAATTACTGAGAAAAATATGGCTTCTCCAAGACGTGTAAGGTCAATTCTGTTTCAAGCTCTTGGGAATTCTTTTATTTATAAACTTATTTAAACAATTGTAGAAAATATCTGCCTTGTTTTATCTAACTGAACAGGGGTCAATAATGCAGCATCAAAAGCACTACACCATCTACAGTATCCCCAAATGGCATCACTGAACTCACATAGAAGCATTCTTAACAAATAAATGTTTGAATTTTTGTAAGATCATTTGTGTTCTAGCCCTGGAATTTCTTAAGGGTGGAAGATTTGCACCTGCAACCGCTTTAAGGCTTGCATGATAGCACCTAGTGCCTCTAATATCCCTGTACTTTTTCTCCTTTGCTTCAGAAAAAAAACAACCCAGCAGTAATTAGCACAATAATACAACACAGATTTCATTTTTTTAAAAATCAACTGACAGCTCAGCAAGTATTTTTAATCAGTGTTCTCTTAGGCAACAACAGAATCTGTACTTGCAATGATATTGTGTTGTATGTATTACATTAACCCTTACTTGTTTTTAAACAGATGGGCACATTTTTGGCTGCAAGTTCTTTCTCCAGCTACAAACTCCACTGATGTTCCAGACTGAAAACAATTTTCACAAAAATGAAGCCCATCTGACTTGGCAGTTTCCTTCAATTTTGGTGGTACGTCTGTTTTTTCTGAGAATGCTACACAGAAGAAAGAAAGCAGTGAATACTCAAGATGACATACAGGTGGAAAAAAAGCATATCAATAAATCATGTCAAACAAAATGACCAAGACTTTCAGCTGGGAAACACACCTAGCACGTCTACCATTCCTTAAAGTAGCTGTATCTTTTATCCAAGATTTTGTGGCTGCTTTTGCGGCTGTAGAACAATCTATATTACAACTTGCGTGCTCCAAAGCATCTTTTTGCTTTTGAGTTCAACCTCCTGCACCTCTTTAATTACCAATACCCATTTTGAAAAGGGATTTCAGGCTTCCCACAAGCTATCAGAGCTGACACTTTGGAAAAATCTTACTGGCTTCATCTAAACCATTTACTCAACAACAATCTTATTTCTCGGAGTGATGGTGAACAGTTCAATGAAGATATCAGTACAGCGTGCATCTGATGTACACGTCAACAGCGTGTCAGGGATAAATAGAATTCGTACAGAAAATAGAGAAACCAATATCATAAAACCATGGTTTTGTTTTTTGTATAGTTTTAAATTTTTAAATATGTATTGTTTTAATAGTTTAATATATTTTAATTATTTTTCTATTTGTTTATAATCTGTAAACTACCCAGAATCGCCTTATAGTGGAGATGGGAGGAATAAAACTTTAATAAATAAACAAACAAACAAATAAATAATGACTGTATATAAATCAATGTTGCAGCCACATCTAAAATATAGTGCATAGTTTTGGTTACCCTATCTTCAAAAGGGTATAGTGGAACTAGAGAAAGTCCGGAGGAAAGAAAGTAAGATGATAAAAGGACTGCATCTTACAAGGAAATGTTGCAACTTTGGGGGCATTTATTTTAGAAAGGAACAAGAGAGAAGATGAATAAGGCGTATAAAACTATAGGAAGTATTTTTACACCATAAATAATTAAACTTTGGAATTTGGAGCCATGAGAGATATAATACTGGCTACCAACTTAGCTGGATTCAAAAAAAGGGTTGGCCAGATTCATGGAAGAATTCTTGCTTGTGTAACTGGTTGGCCACTGCGAGAACAGATGGATTAGACTGACCAACAGTCGAATCCAGCAAGACACTTCTTAAGTCCTTACTAGTCAACATTTAAATTACTATTTATATCAAGTGGTTTGCAAGCTTAAGAACTTTGGAAAAATATTCCGTCAAACAGATTTCAATATATAAAAGCTATTAGACTGGATCCCAGATGAGCAAAATTCTGCTCACTGGAACTCACAAGAGAAATAAGGACAAGTGATTTTTGATGAATTTGCCATCTTCCTGCAGAGATGTTCCAGAGGACTGTGGATCAGCATGTAGGCTGCAAGGCAATGAAAGAATTCATAAATGAAATCTCCTTTAGACTCTCCCTACTGCTAAGAGTTTGTTGAACCTGGTCTCTTTCATAAATGAAAGATAAGCTCCTTTTCCTGGAAGCACAAGTCTGCATATATCCAGCATCTAGAGCAGGAATGGGCAATCTTCTGGTTATCGGGGAATCAAATATAAAAGCTGGGGGAGAGTGAAACCATAGTGAGCAGGGAAATGAGTGGGCAGAGTTGAAGTAGATGAAGTAATCTGTCTTTTTTTCCTAAATTGGGTTATGGCCACTTTGGGGCTTACAAAACAATTTGCAGGTCTTCCCACACAGCCTTATATATCCCTGAGGCCAGAAACTGCCTACTTCAGCCCAGAACACAATTTAATTCAGTAGCTCTTTTCTGACATATTCAGAATACTATCACCTAGTTCTTAATTGCTTCTTATTAGTTTTCCATGGGCACAAGAAGATTGGGTTTTAGTTTTACCACAGACAAATATAAAGGAACCACAAAAACCTTAAACAATCTACGGAACTGCCTTCTCTGATCCTTTTATCTGGTGCCGCTTTTGTTTTATTTTTGTTCCGTCTTCGAATCGTGGCTTAACTATTTCAAGAGACAAAATGTGATTCTGTGAGCCGAGAGGTGGTGTTGTATATTACAAGAAAGCAGAAGCTGCAACCTTCTTCTAAGCAAAATTCATTAACAGTAGCTTTTTTACTTTTAATATAAATCCTGCTGATTTGGAGCCAATGTTTACGTGAATGTTTTTAACTGCATTTAACATGACTATTGTTTCCAGGCCAAGAGAGCAAGCACTTGATTGGGGCCCCATCCAGCAGACAAACAGGTCTAGTCCTTTCTTTCCCTTGTGGCAGTAGCAGGGAAGGTAGAACAGCAAGGTGTTTTTTTAGGTGGAATGCTTGGATTATGCCAAATGCATATCTCTGGTCTCGGTCTTCACTTTCCCTCTCCCCCCCCTCCATTACTTGCTGCCCCAAACTGTTTAAAAATGAGAATTTACGATAGCACTACGATTCATTCCTTGAAACAAAATTTAAGAGTATTTGTAGAACAATTCTGCTTAGATTCCATCTCTTCTTATTTAAAATATATGCGCATCAGAAATTATAACCTTGCCTAGGAAGCCAGACACACTGATATTCGCATGAAATTGGGATGCCAAGAAACAAAATTAAAATCACTGCACTGACCTTCCTGGACAGTTGGCACCATCCAAGTTGTGGTAGCTGTAGCCTTCTTAACACTTTCCATCTCTGTTACATCGGTGATTACTTCTAGAGCACCAAATTCATTCACACAAAACTGATTTTAACATGTAAAAAAAAACACAATATGAACAGGTAAGTTTTAGTTATCAACTGTAGTTTGTATATTACACACATACACACATACACATACACGGTGATATTTATTATTCTTCATCATACTGGCTCCTTAATTATCTCATTACTTATTTAAAATGGACTTGATTTTAGACAGAAAAATCAAAAGAAGCTTTTACATTGCTACATGTACAGCCAGCCTTTGACTTATAACCCTTGTTTGCGGACAAGTTGCAATGACACTGAAAAAAGTGACTTACAACTGATCCTCCCCCTGACATCTACTGCAGCATCCTCATGGTCACGTGTTCAAAATTCAGACACTTGGCAATTAGTATATTATTTATACGATGGTTGCAGCATCCTGGTGTCACATGATTGCCATCTGCAACCTTCCCAGCCATCTTCCAAGCAAGCAAAGCAATGGGGGAATCGGCTGATTCAGTTATGGTGCTATATCCCACTCAGTATCTAATTTATATATTGTCTTCTGAATTTTAAAAAATATCAGTCTCTCCCACATGAACTGAAATAACAGGCAAAGGCTGCTTATCCCTGAGTGCGTTTGTCTCATTGAACATATTCCTGAGTTCAGAGTTTTCTATATATTCTTTTAAACATCTGTTCCAGTTTTAGACTGAGCAAGGACCAGAATTCTCAGGATAGCATGCATATCAAAGATGAAAACGTTGGGGAAAATTACAGAAAGTGTGAACATAAAATAAACAAGGCTTTATAATTAAATGATAGTAAAATTAAGGGAGGCTATTGAAAGAAAAAAATAGTAGAATGCCAGTACCATCTAGTGGTCACGTATAATTCCATTGAAAATACATTTGAGAATGGACTTTCTGAATGGGAATGAATGGCTTTATGCAGTTTCATTTTTCAACAACAAAAAAGACAACATCAATTTTTCTAGATAGCAGCGCTTTTACAAAGACAAGTGCATACAGTAAACTCCTGTCTCTGCTAGCCTCTCCTTTCTCTTTTGTTTCCCCTGCAGTGAATTTTGACTGTAAACAGAGGTAGGGGCTACTTTTTTTTCTGCTCTGCACATACATACTGTATTAGCACTTTTATCTAGTTCAAAAATGAACTGTATACATAGAATTTAGTCTAAAATCCTTTATGTGCTATTCGCTCCTGTTACACATAATAACACCCCAGAATAAAAATTAATGTCATTTCAGCCAGTGCTAGATTACATAAACATTCTTGATATGTTTCTTCACTATTGTGCCAAATTTTATTGCTTTCCTGATAAATTTCTACTTGCATTGTACTTATGCTCTTAAGAGAGGTCCAAATGAAATTAAATGTGTGTTTCTAGGGCAGGGGTATCAAACTGCCGGGCCACGGGATGGATGCGTCATGCCGAAACCTTGCCCATCCCATTGCCGGCAATGGGGGGAAAAGTCACGATATGTCGCGACACGTCACATGGCGTTGCGAGTTTGACACCCCTGTTCTAGGGATATGGAAAGCAGACCTACTCCATTTCAGTCTTTCATAAAGAAAAGTCTTGCTTTGTAAGTTGCAACGCATGGATATGGGGCTAATCAAACTGGTGCCTTTGCCTTGAAGAAAGTGGCTTCTGTGCATGTGCAAAAATCACTTTGATCAGTCAAGAAAAAAAATAACACAGCCACTTTGCTCCACTACACCTTGTCCTCAACATATGACAACTTGTTTAACAACCAGTTGAAGTTGCAACAGCACTGAAAAAAGTGACTTATGACCGGTCCTCGCACTTACAATCACCACAGGTTCCCTGCAGGCACTTGATTAATACCAGGGTGCTTGGCAACCGGCATGTATTTACAAAAGTTGTAGCATCCCAGGGTCATGCGATCACCATCTGCAATTTTCCCAGGGCGCTTCTGACAAGCAAAGTCAACGGGGAAGCCAAACTTGCTTAATGACCATGGTAACTTACTTAACAACCATGGCAAAAAAAAAAAAAGTCAGAAAATCGCTTTGTGACAGAGGAGGCTGTGATCCTGTGTTCGTAAGCTGAGGACTACCTGTATTCAACCACGTAAAGGTCAATTTGTGGTTTTGCTTCAAAGGATTGCACTCTCAAAGCAAGGCATATCTGCGACAACTGCACTTAACATGCAGGTGGTTAAAAATGGAAATAGCAGCAGCTGGGAGAATGGATTAGGACAGCAGCAGAAATAGATGGGGAATTTAATTATTTTCTCTCCTGCTGTGGTCCTGAAGAGTATCCATCCTCTGATATTTGCTCTGAGGGACAGAATCCTCTGGGGCTCAGCCTTCTAAGAGCGTGTTTTTTTGCAGCTGGCTCCTGTTTGCTACCTTAGGTTCTATATATAATCAAAATAGCATCCCCAAGCCTTAAATCTCTTCACCCCTGCACCACACAATGACAATGGGAACTGCTTGTAAATGGAATGTACTAATACAGTTTCCAAGTAAGGAAATGGAATAATTTAAGGCACTTTCAGATGCTTGCAAACCAGATTTGATAATAGATTTATTTCCTGGCTAGCTCTTTTTTGGCCATTAGGTTCTGGCACATGTCCGTTTCTGAATGTATTCCCAGGCTCAGCTATATCTATTTTCAGAATGCTTTTTTTAAAATAGACGCATTCACTTGTTTAGTTAGCAATAACAATGTACTAGGCATACTTGCAACGTCACTTTGAAAACAGGGCACTTGAAAAAGCACACAAGTACAAAAAAATTTAAAAAAATGTTCCACATACTGCTACTTTACCAGGAAGCAATTTTAAATTATTGCAGCTTGTCCAATTTAATTGCAGCACTTGAATCCAAAGGTGATGGTGATTGTATGTACTCATCAGAACGCTTCAGAAAAGCAGGGTCCTTCACTTTTATATATGCTCTTCAGTTTGGAAAATATCAACTTTTAAGTCCTTTACCCAGTTCACAGCAATTGTAATATATTGAAGTGTTTCTGATTTGAACATACTCCTTTGCCTGACAAATGGAAAACTCCCAAACTTTGAAACTCTACAGCAGATGAAAGTTACTTATTGCATTAAATGCCAGACTGCTGCAGCATTTTTATTTCATTTTGTCTGAACATTTTACTCACAAATTTGGATGTTGGAATAATTTGCAACATACAATGTTTGAAGCAAATCTGAATAATGAATGAAAGACCCACTTTCTTGCAGGCAGTCTTCAAGAAAAAATGGCTTGGAAAAAAATGGCTCATATATGAAATTGCTTTCTATAAATAATCCACCATTTTATACTAAAAACAAGAAAAATAACAGTGCAGTGTGATATTCTGTTTTTAGATAATTCAAAGGATCTGTGTTTTAATGTACTACTAATAAATATTTTTTCTGGAACGATCCTTTGTTTGATCTTTCTTCTTTTGAAGTCAGGAAGAGGTTTCCCATACCAACTAGGATTGTTGTTGGTGTGATTCTAAGCCTTCTCACTTAATAAAAATCTTAATTCACCATTTGAATTATCAAAAACAATCTGTTCTGGATCAAGTTGAAGAATTAAAGTTTATAGAATTGCCTTAAGATCCTCCCCAAACTATTCATTTTCAAAGTCCTATCCTGAAAACTGCCCTGGCATTTTGCAATGTGAGGCAATCCGAATAAAATTGATCCACTTCCTTGAGTATCATAAGTAATGATACCTTTACCGTTTAAAAATGGGCAACATCTTTCATCTAATATCATTACAAATAAGATTGCTCCAAACTGCTGTTATTCCAAAGTGGGAGAGTTCTTCCCACATTTTCCTAATTAAAGAACCCTAATCAACTATAACAGAGGTATTATGCATGATTAGTTCAGTATGAGTAAAGTATGACTTGTATTTAGGTGGGAAGAATAAGCTGAATACAAATGCTGGAGACAGAAAAGAACGAGTAATGACAAGACTGTAGGTGCTATAGAAAAATCAAAAAATTCTAGTGCTTAAGTAAGACACTTTCCATGCATTGAAGATGGGGGAGGGGTGTTTGAATTTTTTTTTTGTATATTTGGCCTACATTTAGACTTGGTCATATTTTTAAACAACTTAAAGAAATAATAAATTAATAATAAAAATCTTCTGGCATTATTGCTGCATTAATCTCTTTTCCAATGGAAACCCCAAGTCATTTTAGTTAGAAAGCCACTTTCCAAAATGTAAGCAAGCAGATAGGAGGAATAAGTCATCTCCTCAGCACAAGGAAGGCAATGAAGAACAAAAAGCCTGTGTTTAAAAGCCTGTATTTAAAGTGTGCCCCCCTTTCTGCACAGAAGGAAGCTGATGAGCCCAAGCATTCTCCTCAAACACACACCTATACCTTATTTAAAAATTATGCTTAAAGAATAAAGCATAGATGTGAAACATCCTCTATTTATTTATTTATTTATTTATTCAGAAATTCAAAAGGACTTACTCTAAATTTAAGTTTCAGCCTAGAAAGAAGAGAAAAAGAGATAGGAGAAAAGATGAAAGCACCAGAGGCAAAACAGCATGATCCTTGAAAACTTAATAGGACACATTTCATTTCCCTCAATTAAACGTTCTGAATGCTGAGCGTGGAAATGTTGTACAGCAGTCTAGGAGTGGAACTAGAGCTGAGGAGATAATTTGGAATCAAATCTCCATTCAGCTCCATAGAACTGCACATTGGAATTGCTTTAAGATCTTTGTGTATACCCCCAAATAAATATGAAAAAAATGTATTTCTTTGTCACTATTTGTGATCAAATGATACATTTGACAAGTTTTTCTCTTTGCAGTATTTATTGGAGATGATTCTTTATATGAGCATACACATACAGAGATGTGACCTCTAGGGTTTAGCCCTCAGAATTACAGGTAATCGTCAGTTAATGATCATTTGTTCAGCAACCATTAGAAATTATGATGGCACTGAGGTTTATGGACAATCCTCAATGTTGCAGCCACATGACTCAATGTTGCAGTCATGTGATTGTGATTCAAGTACTTAGCAAATGGACTCAATTACAAGGCTGCAGTGTCCCATAGTCACGTGATCACCCGTCGCAACCTTCACTACCAGCTTCCAACAAACAAAATCACTTAGAAAGCTGGTAGGAGACTGCAAATGGCAATCACGTGACATCACATCTGATGACCATGCAGGATTCACCTAACGACTGCAACTGGAGCTGCCAGAATTGCTGTCATTAAGTCAGCATTCATGTGACTTTGCATTTTGCAACCATGCCATTTTACAATCGAGTTCCCTGTCCCATTTATCATCGTTTTCCCAATGACTTCCTGTTCAGTGTTTTCATTCATAGAACAGTTCCTTACTCCATGAAATAACAATGAATGCCTTTATGATTAGTTGAAGCTTGCATATAACTGCAATTCAATCTTCCAAAATCATGTTCATATTACTGGGTCAGCAAACTTTCTATGAAGTGGTGATCACACGAGTGCAGGATGCTGCAACCGTAGTATGCCAGTTGCCAAGTGCCAGAATTCTGATCATATGATGTGGAGATGCTGTGACAGTTGTAGTTGTATGGGGATATCCCAACTATCAGAGGAGTTTCTTTCCAAAGCTCCTTACTTTTAAGACTTTGAAGTTAAGATGTTAAAGTTAAAATCTAAGATTAATATGCTGCTCTTGTTTTTACTCGGTCATTTTATTGCTTCTTTTATATTATGGACTGACACCTTTATTGTTACTTTACTGCTATGTAATATTTTACAATTAAAAATAACATGCCTTTTGTTCTTTTGTTCTTTAACTAAAATAATCACACCTTTTTATAAAACATTATACATTGCTCTGTGTACATCTCTGCAATTACTGTACCTTCAAATCGCTTCCAGGCAAGGTACCAATTCCATCTTTCCAATCCATTACACTAAATACATCAAAGTCTTGCCCATTTCCACTACAAGCTGGTTCATTCATGGTGGATAACCTGTAAAATAAATCAGGAAGCTTATATATCTAATTCAATTTCATATTTGTTTATCACTGTATTATCAGATTTTTTTAAAAAATCATCTGTTTGATATTATTTAATAACAGGTTTTACATGATTCCAAAATTCACAAAAGCCTTTTAGAATTAAGGAAAATGTCACAGATTAGTGTGAAACTTCTCAGTTGACTGGGATTCTTCATCATCTTGGATATTATTAAATTGAGTCCCTGGGAAAGAAATATAGGATCCAGAAAAGTCTGTGTTCACAAAGACTGTTAAAATATAATTCAAAGGAAATAGAACTTGCATACTTACTCAGAGGTAAGCCCCACTGAATTTAATGGAAAATATCCAAAAGTTAAATTTACCTATCAGTGCTAGAATAAAGGAACTAACATTATCCACCATGTGTATATTTCACTTTCAAATTAGTTTCAGTCTTGTCCAGTAAAACTTCTTGTTCTTCCATAACTTTTGTTAAAACTCAGTCTGTTTGTAATGGCAGATTCTCTTGAAATTAACTTCTGGGTCCATTATTTACAAATATCTCACAATACATCCAATGTTGAATTATTTTGCTCCATGTTGTTTTAGCAAATCAAATTTAAGTATTCTCGTCCTTTAATTGCACTTTTTAGTTGTCTTTAGTTCCCTCAAATGTAACCAACTTTGAAAATTCCATCTTTTTTTAAGAATTCAAAACAATAGATTTTTCTCATGGAAAGAATGCTTATAATTAATTCCAAAATTTTATTTCAAATCCATATCAACTTAGTCCATTTGTAATTTTCCAAAATCAATGTTCTAATTGCCCTTTTGCAGTTTATTCCAAAAAGAGATTTTTTTTTTAAAGTCCTTATATTTAAAGGTTCTTTTTCTAAGAATTAAAGGAAGCTCCTCCAATGCTGTAACTTGGGGGTCTTCAAACTTGCCCCTTTTATGACTTGTGGACTTCAACTCCCAGAATTCCTCAGCCAGGCATAAAAGGGCCAAAGTTTGAAGACCCCTGTGTGTAACTCTTGTCGTTTCAAAGGTTCCTAAAAGCTGAAAAGCAGTTAACGGTCGATTTCAAAAAGTTATTGGGATAGGAAGTATGAAAATCCTAGGTCCGTAAAGGCAGACACCATGGTTTGGGCAAAGGTGGCATTCTCTCATCTCCCAGAGGTCTGAACCTGCTGGAGACCACTGCCCTGTGGGGCTCCTCCTCCTCCTCGTGTGCGACCCCAAGTCATCTCCCTGACTGTAGAAGAATTCTGAAGAGCCAGTCCACTCACCGGCTCTTCATTCTGCTGCAGTCACTGGCTCTGTTCTGTCTTCGTTTTGCTGTTTCCTCCCCAGAAGTCCTGGAGCTACCTAATATTATTTGGGAATTTTTTAAACAGTAAAAACATTTACCCTAGCATTTGATGGCTTCTAATAGCACTGCTACAATAATAGCCTTTTTATATACTTTACAAAGTTTAAGCTTTTAAATTGCTTTATACGTTTTATTGGAAACACAGTATTTTAATGCACACAGAGCTGGCAGACGCTTGGAATGGGAAGTGCTATAAAAATATTTAAAAGAATTTTTTAAAAAAAACATGATAAATCCTAGTGATATTCTTAATTCCAAACTCTCCATTTTAATTTTCGCCTCGTAACTAGAGGATGCTAATTATGCAACTGCTTAATTTATAATTTCAGATGCTCTAAGAACAAGAGAGATAAATATAGATTTAATCTATTTTATTTTTATTTATTTCAGTCAGATCCAAAAGATATAGACTTAATATAATTGAAATAATGAAACTGAGATAAAATAAAGCTTACTTGTAAGAATAGAGTTCACTAAAAGTTTATTAGGACATATCCTTTAGCTATGAATCCATCATTATGATGAATTCATTGGTTTCAACAAGAACAAAAATATATTTTTTTAATCTGGGATACAGTTCAAAATTGAAGATATTTATGATAATTACATAAATCAAATTAAATGCTGGTGTTTATTGATGTTTACGATTCAAATCACAATCAAATATTTATTCTGTTGTATGGTCACAAAAGCAGTGATTTTAACTACTTCAGTTTGCCATGATTTCAAAGATTTAAAATGAAAACTGACTCTAAATTGTAGAATTTGTCATAATTAATTCTATGATCAACCAGATTTACCTCTGTGAAGCAATTTGCCAAAAAAACAAAAGAGCTATCACCCTTCAAAACAATATCAACTGGCTCTTACACTAGGGCAGGGGTGTCAAACTCAATTTCATTGAGGGCCGCATCAGCATTGCGGTTGCCCTCGGGGGGGGCGGGGATGTGTGGCCAGGATGGGTGCGGCCTACTGGGTGGGCATGGATGGAGTGGGTGTGGCCTACTGGGTGGGCATGGCCAGCTCTACATCGTTCGCGTCAAGGGTGCCTGTGGGGGCCTGGGCAGGAGTGGGACAGATCTGAGGGTCTCTGGCAGAAGGGGGTGGGATCGGGGCAAGCGCCAAGGCATGGTGCATTTCTTCATTACTCACAAAGGGTGACACCTCCCTAGCATGCACCCAGGGGGTGGGGGCGACGCGGCAGGGGCTGGTTCCTCGCTGTTTCTAGATGGCCTTGTGGAGCTAAGACTGAATGCGTTTCAGCATAGATGGCCACCACAAAATTGTACATTGGCTCCCAGCCGGCCTGGGCCAGGGCCAAGGCAGCGGGGGCCATTCCCTCACTGTTTCCAGGATGGCTTCGCGGGCTACATCCGGCCCCCGGGCCTTGTGTTTGCACTAGGGAAACTAACAACAATTGCAGGGAAATAAACCTTAACGTTCAGAGAAAAAAAAAGCTGCATCAAATAAAAATACTGTCAGTCCAGGATTCTGCTTTCAAAGTATTTTACTATTTCACGTACAGGTGCATGTATAACACTAGTTTTAGACTAACAACCCAGAAGAAACTGACAAGAGTATTCCACATAACATTAACATCTGTAATATTAAAATATTATTATTACATTTTTATCCCACCAGCCAGCAATCTACAATCTCTCTCTCTACCGCTCGCTCTCTCTCTCTCTCACACACACACACACACGCATATATATACAGTACATACATACAGGGCTTTTTTTCTCATAGAATGCCTAGAACGGAGTTCCGGCACCTTTTTTGGATGGAACCTTGTAGGGTAGGCAAGGCGGGTTGTATGACGTGTGTGAGTTCCGGCACCTTTTTTTTTTTTTTTTTAGAAAAAAAGCACTGCATACATACACACACACATAGGTGAACTTATCTAATATAGTATTCCTCCCTCCTATTTCCCCATAATTATAAACTTATATATACATTAAATATTGTTCCAAAAAGATATCGATAATTCACAAGAACAAATCATGTAATTTAATGACCTCTCACATTTCTTTCATTGCCAACGGACAAAATATCACACCCAGCCAAACTATTAACACAAAAAAACTCTCTCCCCCAATCACTTTTATCTGTGATTAGTGTTTTAGGTCATAATGGCTAATACAGTGTATAAAAACAGTTTGACCTAATAGTCTGGATCAATAAGTGGTTGTGAATAATACTTAATTCCTGCCTTAGAAATCTGTGGTACCCTAGTTCCCTTCTATGTTCTCAACTTTTGGGCCCAAGAGTCTAAGATGAGGAATGCACTCTGTATAGTTACAGGTATAAACAGCAGAAGGTGAATCCGTACATATGGGAATCCAATTGTGTTCTAACAAATGCCACTGTAAAATGATTTTTTTTAAACCATTCATCGTATCATTTCTGCATATACTGTATATCAGTGATGGCGAACCTATGGCACAGGTGCCAGAGGCGGCACTCAGAGCCCTCTCTGTGGGCACGTGCGCCGTCGCCCCAGTCCTAGGCCTTCAGCTGGGTTTTATAAAACCTTTTTGCTTTAAGCCTCCGCCACTGTGTACAAAAAAAAAAAAGGTTCAATCAATCAGTCAATTTCAACTTCTCGTAGGAAAAAAAAAATCTTGCAAAGTTGAAATTAATTGATTGAACTTTTTAGTCCCACCCAGTATGTTACCACCACAGCCACGCCCACCCAATGGGCCACACCCACCCGGCACCCGATGATGCATAAGTGGGTTTTGGGTTGCAGTTTGGGCACTCGGTCTCTAAAAGGTTCGCCATCACTGGTGTATATAATAGCAATAGAAGTATCAATAGCACTTAGACCAGTGGTTCTCAACCTTTTTAATGCCGCGACCCCAACCGGTCGTAAGTCGAGGACTAAACCGGTTGTAAGTCGAGGACTAAACCGGTCGTAAGTCGAGGACTACCCAACCGGTCGTAAGTCGAGGACTTTCCCTGCCCGGGAGCGCCACGCATGCGTGGTTCTGCCCCCTGCGCCGGCCGAGGTGTAGCTGGCAAGCGGCAGAGACGGAGCAGGCCAACCACCAGCTGGCCCAGCCCAAGGGAGGTAAGGCACCCGCTGGAAAAGGGGAAAAAATGGCGGACAAAAAAAATGGCGGACAGTCTTGCTTGGCGACCCCCATGAAATGGTCGATCGACCCCAAATGGGGTCCCGACCCACAGGTTGAGAACCACTGACTTAGACTTATATACGGCGTATTGCCCCCAACAATCTGGGTGATCATTTTACTGACCTTGGAAGAATGGAAAGCTGAGTCAACCTTGAGCCCCGTCAGATTCAAACTCCTGGCTTTGGACAGAATCAGCCTGCAATACTGCATTCTAACCACTACGCCACCAGGGCTCATAATAACTTCCTGCAACAGTGAAAATCCAGTAGTTCGAAATCAACATCCTTTAAAAGCAATGAAAGTTGCTTTCATTGTGAATGAGAAAATAGTGTCACGGATAGCCATCACACATGGGCTCTACCACCTACCCCTTTTTTTTAAAGGCACACAGGCATACCTTAAATCAAATATACTCAAATATAATAATCAAAAACATTTACCGTATTTATGTTCTGACAGTGCTTTTTGATGCTCTTCAAAATTTCAATATAAAGTAGTAAGTACCAAGGGAAATGAAATGGG